TGTTACCCAGAATTCTAGAAGCCCTCCCATGACATAATAATAAAAATAAAAGATAACTAATACTACTTCCCTGGCAGGCCAGTGGTTAAGAATTTGCCTGCCAATGCAGGGGGCATGAGTTCAATCCCTGGTTTGGGAAGATTCCAAATGCCTCGGGCAAGTAAGCCCCTGCTCCACAACTAGGGAGCCTGCCCTCTAGAGCCTGTGCTCTGCAATAAGAGAAGCCACCACAATGAGAGGCTTGCACACCTCAACTAGAGAGTAGCCTCACTTGCTGCAACTAGAGAAAGTCTGCAAGCAGCAACAAAGAACTGGCGCAGTCAAAATAAATCAAAACAAATAAATATTTTAAAAGGAAACTAATAAGGACCTACTGTATAGCAAGCACATGGAACTCGACTCAGTATTCTATAACGGCCTATATGGGAAAAGAATCTTAAAAACAGCAGATATACGTATAACATTCACTGCTGTTACAGCAGAAATTTATGCAACATTGCCTGCCAACTATACTACAATTAAAAAAAAAACATTTTTTAAGAAACTGAAAAATAAATAAATATTTGGTGTTTGTATCTAGTTCTCAGCACACAGCTCCTAAAACCCTTGGCACCTTTGTGTGATATGTGTTTTTTATGCTAGTGAGGTGACCGGGGTGGGGGCCCTTTGATCATTTCAGAATGAGGGCTGGTCCCAGAATAGTCCAGGTCTCCAGGGATAAAGGCTGAAGATTAAATTAATCTCCAAGGCCAGTGACTTAATCAGTCGTGCCTACCTAATGAAACCTCTCTAGAAACCTCTCAACCCAGATGGATGGATAAATAAGCTGTGGTACATATTCCATTGTATTGATGGAATAATACTCACCTATGAAAAGGTATGCATTTGAGTCAGGTGAACTGAGTTGGATGAATCCAGAACCTGTTATACAAAGTAAGTCAGGAAGAGATAAACAAATATTGTTTATTAATGCATAGGGAGCCTACTATACAGAGTTAAGTAAGTCAGAAAGAGAAATATTGTTTATTAACAGATATATATGAATTCTGGAAAAGTGGTACTGACAATCCTATTTGCAGGGCAGGAATAGAGATGCAGACACACAGAAGGGACTTGTGGACACTCGGGAAGGAGAGGGCAGGACAAATTGAGAGAGTAGCATTGAAACATATCATTACCACGTGTAAAATAGATAGCGAGTGAGAAATTGCCGTGTAACACGGGGGATCAATCCAGTGTTCTGCGACAGCCTCGAGGGGTGGGGTGGCAAGGAGGTTGAGGAGGGAGAGGATACATGCATACTTATGTCTGATTCATGTTATTGTGCGGCAGAAACCAACACAACATTGTAAAGCAATTATCCTCCAATTAAAAATAAATTTTTAAAATGTCAGCTTTTTTTTTCCATTTATTTTTATTAGTTGGAGGCTAATCACCCTACATCATTGCAGTAGTTTTTGTCATACACTGAAATGAACCAGCCATGGATTTACAAGTATTCCCCATCCCGGTCCCCCCTCCCACCTCCCTCTCCACCCGATCCCTCCGGGTCTTCCCAGTGCACCAGGCCCGAGCACTTGTCTCATGCACCCAACCTGGGCTGGTGATCTGTTTCACCCTAGATAATATACGTGTTTCGATGCTGTTCTCTTGAAACATCCCACCCTCGCCTTCTCCCAGAGTCCACAAGTCTCTTCTATACAGCTGAGTCTCTTTTTCTGTTTTGCATATAGGGTTATCGTTACCATCTTTCTAAATTCCATATATATGTGTTAGTATACTGTAATGGTCTTTATCTTTCTGGCTTACTTCGCTCTGTATAATGGGCTCCAGTTTCATCCATCTCATTAGAACTGATTCAAATGAATTCTTTTCATGGCTGAGTAATATTCCATGGTGTATATGTACCACAGCTTCCTCATCCATTCGTCTGCTGATGGGCATCTAGGTTGCTTCCATGTCCTGGCTATTATAAACAGTGCTGCGATAAACATTGGGGTGCACGTGTCTCTTTCAGATCTGGTTTCCTTGGTGTGTATGCCCAGAAGTGGGATTGCTGGGTCATATGGCAGTTCTATTTCCAGCTTAACTAAACAGACATTTCTCCAAGGAAGACATACAGATGGCTAACAAACACATGAAAAGATGCTCAACATCATTCATTATCAGAGAAATGCAAATCAAAACCACAATGAGGTACCATTATATGCCAGTCAGGATGGCTGCTATCCAAACGTTTACAAGCAATAAATGCTGGAGAGGGTGTGGAGAAAAGGGAACCCTCTTACACTGTTGGTGGGAATGCAAATTAGTACAGCCACTATGGAAAACAGTGTGGAGATTTCTTAAAATGTCAGCTTTTAAAAATGTCAATAAATTTTTTAAAAATGTCGACTTTACCATGTGTATCACTTCTATCTGGCTATTCCCCACTTGTATCCTTTATAAGAAACTGGTAACCAAATTGTTTTCCTGAGTTCTGTGAGTTGTTCTAACAAATGATCAAACCTGAGAAGGTGTCCTGGGGAATCTCTTCAAACAGAAAGTTAGAGAAGCCAGGAAACCCCATTTGCAACTGGTGTCTGAAGGGGGGGTGGTCTTGTGGGACTGAGCCCCATCAACCATAGCATCTTCACTTACTCTGGGTAGTTGGTGTCAGAAGTGAATTGAGGACTTCCCTGGTGGCACAGTGTATAAGAATCTGCCTGCTAATGCACGCGACAGGAGTTCAATCCCTGGTCCAGGAGGATTTCAGATGCTTCAGGGCAACTAAGCCCACATGTGCCACAACTACTGAGCCTGTGCTCTAAAGCCTGGGAGCCACAGCTACTGAAGCTCACGTGGCTAGGGAGCAGGCTCTGCAACAAGAGAAGCCACAGCAATGAGAAACCCAGGCACAGTAACGAAGACCCAGGGCTGCCAAAATAAATTTTAAAACTTGGGGGATAAAAAAGAAAGGAAGAAGTTAATTGAGTTGGAGGAACCCTAGCTGGTATCCAGAAAGTTGGTGTTTGGAGGGGAAAAAAAGACAACACTTCTCTCTGGCTATACCTCATGCCATACAGTTGTCCACCATGCTTATTAACCATTAAAAAAAAAAACTAACATTCATATATAACATTTTTAAAGGTTACTAAGAGCTTTTGGGAGAAGGCAATGACAACCCATTCCAGTACTCTTGCCTGGAAAATCCCATGGGCAGAGGAGCCTGGTGGGCTGCAGTCCATGCGGTCACAAAGAGTTGGACACAACTGAAGCGACTTAGCAGCAGCAGCAAGAGTTTTTGCTTGAGCCACCCTTGTGGCTCAACTGGTAAAGAATCCACCTGCATTGCAGGAGACCTGGGTTCGATCCCTGGGTTGGGAAGATCCCCTGGAGAAGGAAAAGGCTACCCACTCCAGTATTTAATTGGAGCCTGTTTGCAAACCTATGCTGTCCCATTTGATAGATGAGCAAGCTGAGGCTCAGAGAAAGGCATCAGTTACACAAGGGGTCAGCGTCCAGGCCAACAGGCAGCCTGAAGCTCCTTAGGTCTGGTCCCCTCCAGCCCGGGTCAAACCAAGGCCAGAAACCATTACACAACAGGAAATGAGTTAGGTAATACGTGCCTCCACCAGGAGTCTCCAACCCTGAGGATTCTACAAAAAAGGAAGAAAGTCCATACCCACTCCCCAGAAGCTCAGATTTGCTGAGATGCGGCAGGGTTGTTCCGCTTTCTAGCAGGAATGTTTACTAGCTGCGTGCTGAGTTGCTCACAAAGCAGGCAGCCCCCTGGGCCTGGAACACACCCTGGTGCCCCTCCTAGCATGGCAGGATGTGCAGTGGGGTTCCGGAAGCCCTGAAAACTGAGAGGCTGCAGAAGATGCCTGTCCTGACCCCCTCTCTCAGGCTACACTCTCAAGTGGGTCTTTTTGGTGACTCCCATGCCTGCTCGGACATGGTGAGGACTGTTCTCCCGGGTCAGTGACCCAGGGCTAGGAGAGATCTGAGGACACTTGAGGGCGGACAGCTCTGAACTCAACCCTTGGCTCTGAAAGCCCCTACCTCCTGTCCACATCAAGGCTTGGTCCCAGGTGTCCAGGTCCCAGGAGAAGGAAGACTCCGAGGGACACAGAACAGTAAGTACCCAGAGCATCTCACCCACCATCCCAGCGCCGCCCCTTCACTCTCCTGACCGACCTCGCGCTCCACCCTGGCACCCAGGAAGCTTCCAGTGTCTCCCAGGCCCCCTGTGGATCACCCCTCTTCCTAAGGCTTTTCCTCCCAATCCTTTTCCCCTCCCTTCTCCCAACACCGTCCATCAGCAGATGCCCTGGGATTTTATAAAACTGATTCTAAATGCTGAATAGGAGTTTGCCAGGTGAAGAGCAGTGATCCCCATGGGAGTCCTGCATTGGTAGGGGTCAAGGAAGTGACTATTCTCTGCCTTCCTGACTGTCCTCACCAACCCAACATCCACCCCCTCCCATAAACATCCCTGCTGACTTGGGGGAAAAACAAAAAAAACGCGTGACCTGAGAGTTGCCGGTCGAGTTTTGTTGAAGGCAAAATGAGGACTGCAGCCCAGAAGACAGCATTTCAGATAGTGCTAAGAAACTGCTCCAAAGGGAGAGACAGAGGAAGGTCGGTATATATGTGATTTTGATGAAGGGGGAGTTCATGCAACCTGTATTTGCAGGTTTGTATATGCTGCTCGTCACGAGGAGCGTACCTCCCCATGAAGGATTTTAGTGCTTTTCTAGATGTGAGGAGATGCAAGAACTGGGCTCATAAAAATAAGCTCCTGAAAAGACCTAACGCTCTGAGGACCTGCACTGCCAGGTTTTCCTCGACCGCAGAGGGCCCCATTCCTGATCTCCACCCTGAACTCCCTTCAGGGGATGTTGAAGGTCAGCAGCTGCAGCAGCACATGATTTAATCCTTGTAGAGGTAGACAGCCAGTGCCCATGGCAAGTGCCAATTTATAGTTGACATCCCCAGGGTCCCCCAGCCCAGCAGCGATGGCTGGTGAAGCCCGGAGGCTGGAGGACTTGGAGGAAAAGAAGAAAGAGAAGCTGAAGGAGCTCCAGCTTTGGCTGCCCGATAAGGAGCCCTGCGGGCAGTCTCCTGAGGTGGTCCAGGCTCAACCAGAGAAGCCAAGCAGCGTGAAGTTCGCCTCACACCTGGTGCATCAGTACAAGGAGGCACAGCACGGGTGCATGGCCGTCCACACCAAGGGACCGCACATGAACAAGCAAGGGGCGTGCACCAAAACCCTCGAAGAGACAGACTTGAATTCAGGTGCTTACAAAGCCTCCTCTGCCCACTGCCGATCTCCTCACCCCCCACCAGAGAACCCACACACACACACCTTCCTCTGGGTGGTGATTTATTACTACCTGATCAGGGGGGATCCAGACCTAGGCCAGCCTGCAGCTAAGAGGCTTGCTGGGGCTGGGAGGGGAGGTTCCTGGATTCCTCTTCTAGCCAAGTGGATTCCTAGGATCCCATGTGGTCCTCACAGGGCCTGGAAGGGGTGCTCAGGGGGCCGGAGAGGGAGGAGGCTGGCATTCAGAAGGGCAACTGAAAGGGAGGGCTGGGGGTTTCATGCCCAACTCCTAAGCAGGCACTTGCCTGGCCTTATGTTATAAGCACGGACTTGGGAATCGGGCCACACTGGGCGAGTCACTTCACTGCTCTGTGCCTCTGTTTCTACATCTGTAAAATGGGGGAGCAAGAGCCTACCTCCTTGGACTATGTAAGGGTTAGAGAGATCATTCGTATTAAATATTTAGTACAGGGTCTAAGAGTCTAGTGATGGTTTATTCCGACTCTTTGCGACCCCATGGACTGTAGCCCACCAGGCTCCTCTGTCCATGGGATTTCCCAGGCAAGAATACTGGAGTGGGTTGCATTTCCTTCTCCAGGGGATCTTCCTGACCCAGGAATCGAACTCCGGTCTCCTGCATTGCAGGCAGATTCTTTATTGACTTTGCTATGAGGGAAGCCCCTAAGACATAGTAAGTACTCAAAAAAAAAAGAAAAATAGGAGCTCTGTTGCTATTGTTGCTGTCACTGCAGGTATTATTACTAATCAGCAGCCCTGGGAGGTGGGACTCTTCACCCCACCAGGGAGAGGTGCAGAGAGGGGGCTCAACTTTCATGAGGAGGTAGAGACAGAAGGAGGACACAGAAGCAAATCTTCTGGACCCAAATCAGGATGAATCATCCAGCAGCATCAGGAAATCGTCCTCCAACAAGAGGCAGGCTGCAATGGTCTCCCTCCCGACCTCTATTGGTTGAGACAAAAGACCTCTCTTGTTCTTCTTGGCTGAAGGACCCAGGCCTCAGCCCCCTGGCTCCTGCCCCTTCCCCTGGCAATCCTCCAACCTGTTTGTCTGCTCCCCACAGCCCTGTCTTCCTCATTCTTCCACTCACCAAGTGCACCCAACCTGGAGTCCCCCAGCTGGCCCACCTCCACCGAAGTGTTGAAATTCTGCAAGCCTAATCAACCAGTGCTTGAGCGCTCAATGGAACAGAGGTCGAGATCCCTAGTTTTCACATCTGGATATACCTGGAAAGGTGAGGCTTGCTGAGAGGCCCTGAGGCGGGGTAGGTGGGGGGATGCGGGGGGTGGGGGGGGCAGCTTTGAGGCAGCCAGTGGGCTTGTAACTCCATGTGGACCTGGTCAGAAGGAACTACAGAAGGCTGGAGGAGCCAGGAGCAGGGTGGTGGGTACAGTGGGCCTAAAAATGATCTTGCAAGAGCATCCCTCTGCTGAGACTGCACTCCTTCCGATTTGGTAAGATGGGGACGCTGAGACTCATGTTGGTCAGACGGTGAATCTCCCCCAACCTGGTGCAATGTGGTTCTTGCCCAGGCAGAGCTCAGCTCACAACCCCAGTGGACTTTGAAGATCCTGGGGGTCGGGATGGTTTAGAAAGTTCCAAGGAGGACTTGGTTCTCCAGATAAACCCCAAGAGAAGGGTAGGCTCACCCCTCAGCCTAAGCCGGTTCCCTCTCCTGACTTCTCTTATTTTGGCCTCCGTCATCCTGAGTCACCCAGGCTTCAAACCCCAGCCACACCCCGGCCTCTTCCTCTTCTCATCCCAGTATCAAAATACAAGTTCACACAGCATCTGGAGACAGAGCCAGGGCTGGAACCTAGAACCACCCATTCCTGGTACAGTCATTTTCTCTCCATCTGCTGTTGCTTTTTGAAGGTCCCCATCCCCAGCTTGGGCTTCCCAGGAGGCGCTAGTGGTAAAGAATCCACCTGCCAATGCAGGAGATGCCAGAGACATGGATTTGATCCCTGAGTTGGGAAGATCCCCCAGAGGAGGAAATGGCAACCCACTCCAGTATTCTTGGCCGCACTGGGTGTTCACTGCTGCACACTGGATTTCTCTCATTGTGGCAAAGCGGGGGCTACTTTTCATTGTGCTGCCCATGCTTCTCATTGCAGTGGCTTCTTTTGTTGCGGACTACATGCTCTAGGCTCACAAGCTCAGTAGTCATGGCTGTCATGCTTACTTGCTCTGCCGCATGTGGAATTGTTCCAGGCCAGGGGCCAAATCCATGTCTCCTGCGTTGGCAGGCAAATTCTTATCCACTGCACCACCAAAGAAGTCCCTTCCCCTTCCTTCTATGCCTACTCTCCCCACTCCACTCCCAAGCCTCAACAGTTGATGGTCACAAGCTTCAGTACCCTCAGTTTCCACCATGACTTCACCCACTTGCTCTATGACACCGAACAAATCACTTCATCCTCCTGTGTCTCAATTTCCTCGTCTGATCTACTCTGCACACCACCCCAGGCCACAGTACAGAATTTACACATTTGAACTCCACACTAAAATAACCCATGTGCACAGAATTTCAGATATATGATGTAGACTCTACAAGATGTTGTAGGAGAAAAGTGTTAGACTTTTCACATCTCTCTGCCCACAAAAATCCCCTCTTGTGCCCCCACCAGCTTTCTTCTCTCTTGTCCTTCCCACACACACTACCCAGTCTCACTGACTCTTCCTTTATTGAAGACGCAGAGCAGTTCCCCTCTGCCCCAAACTTGCATACCCTGAGTTTCATTGTCTGGCAAAACAGTGCCTGAATAAAATGATAAAGCATTTAACGACTTCCCTGTTGATCCAGCAGCTAAGACTCCACTCCCACTGCAGGAGACCCAGGTTCTTTCCCTGGTCAGAGAACTACATCCCACATGCTATAACTAAAAGTTTGTATGTCACAACTGAAAAAACCCACAAGTTGTATTGTAATTATATTCTATTTTTCATCTGGGTATTGATCGTGAAACTGATAAACAACTTTTATTACTAAAAAAAAAAAAAAAAAGAACCCACAAGCTGCAACCAAAACCCAGTGCAGCCAAATTAATAAATAAATATTAAAAAAATAAAATAAAACAGTGCCCCCCACTACTTTAGAATGCCACTTAGTAACTATTTGTTGTTGCTTGAAATAGGCAGCTTAACTCCCTTCCCCAAGGGGTTTATCAAAATCTTTCTACCTGATAGAGGAAGTTTCAGAGCATTAAGAGAATTAAATTGTACCTCCATCTTTGTGATTTTAAAAATTGGATTACCAACACCATCTCACAGGATTTTTGTGAGAATTTAAAATGTATGAGCCTGAAATGGATGCTCAATAAATGATCCTTCCTTTCTTGTCTTTCTCCCCTGAAGACCATTCCCTAAGCATTTACCAAGCTTTTCCAAGTTCCCCATATCATGAGTCACCAAGCCAAGAGTTACCCAATGACCCCACCTCCACCGCAGTCCTGAGAGTCTGTGAACCCCCAAGTCATTCCTGTCCAGAGTCCAGAGAGAAGGAGGGTCCTGGGACTGTATGGCCACTGGTTGAAACATCTGTAAACAGCTGCACAGGTAAGGCCCTGCTGAGCTTCCAGAAAGGGGTGGGTGAGGCAAAAACATGGATGGGGACACAGTTGATAGACTGAGCAGAAAGGGTCTGGCAAACATCTGAGACCTCTCTCCAGAAATCCTATTGCTGGGACTTCCCTAGTGGTCCAGTGGTTAAGAATCTGCCTGCCAACACTGTTTATAATAGCCAGGACATGGAAGCAACCTAGATGCCCATCAGCAGACGAATGGATGAGGAAGCTGTGGTACATATACACCATGGAATATTACTCATCCATTAAAAAGAATTCATTTGAATCAGTTCTAATGAGATGGATGAAACTGGAGCCCATTATACAGAGCGAAGTAAGCCAGAAAGATAAAGACCATTACAGTATACTAACACATATATATGGAATTTAGAAAGATGGTAACGATAACCCTATATGCAAAACAGAAAAAGAGACTCAGATGTATAGAAGAGACTTGTGGACTCTGGGAGAAGGCGAGGGTGGGATGTTTCAAGAGAACAGCATCGAAACACGTATATTATCTAGGGTGAAACAGATCACCAGCCCAGGTTGGGTGCATGAGACAAGTGCTCGGGCCTGGTGCACTGGGAAGACCCAGAGGGATTGGGTGGAGAGGGAGCTGGGAGGGGGGACCGGGATGGGGAATACATGTAAATCCATAGCTAATTCATTTCAATGTATGACAAAAACCACTGCAATGATGTAAAGTAATTAGCCTCCAACTAATAAAAATAAATGAAAAAAATAAAAAAGAAAAAAAAAAAAAGAATCTGCCTGCCAATGAAGGGGACATGGGTTCGATCCCCGTTCCAGGGAGATCCCACATACTGCAGAACAACTAGGCCAGTGCACCACAACAACTGAAGCCCACACGCCCTGGAGCCCATGCTCTACAACAAGAGAAGCCACTGCACTGAGACGCCAAAGCACCGCAAAACGTAGAGCCGCCCCTGCTTGCCACAACCAGGAAAAAGCCCACAAAGCCATGAGAACCCAGAGCAGCCAAAGATAAATAAATAAGTAAAACTACTTTTAAAAAACAAAAAAGAAATCCTACTGCCAGAATCTCTCCACCTGCCTAAGGCACTGATTCCAGGAAGCCTCTGGAAATTAAAAATGCAGGAGTATTATCCAGTACAGGAGACACATCACCTGGTGAGTGGACAGTCACTGGCCTAGAGTTGGAAGAGAAAGATTCCATTTCTGATGAGCTTCTCAGGCCCCAAATGGCCTGGAGCACGTCAGGTGGACACACTCTATGTGTCAGGCTCCGTGCCAAGTACTTTGCTTGCACAGTTTAAAATCTCATGACCACTCCATGAGAGGGATGTTATTATTTTTACACCTTGGAAATAAGAAGACTGAGGCTCAAAAACAGAAACACTCAGAATGGCAGAGATGGAATTCAGCCTCCACTCTCTCTAATGCCACTGCTGTTGTTAAGTCGCTCAGTGTTGTCCAACTCTCTGCGGCCCCACGGACTGCAGCACGCCAGGCTTCCCTGTCCATCACCAACTCCCGGAGCTCGCTCAGACTCATATCCATCAAGTCGGTGATGCCATCCAACCATCTCATCCTCTGTGGTCCCCTTCTCCTCCTGCCTTCTATCTTTCCCAGCATCAGGGTCTTTTCCAGTGAGTCAGCTCTTCTAATCAAGTGGACAAAGTATTGGAGCTTCAGCTTCAGCCTCAGTCCTTCCAGTGAATATTCAGGGTTGATTTCCTTTAGGATTGGTTTGATCTCCTTGCTGTTCAAGGGACTCTCAACACCACAGTTCAAAAGAATCAGTTCTTCAGTGCTCAGCTTTCTTTGTGGCCCAACTCTCACACACATACATGACTACTGGAAAAACCATAGCTTTGACTAGATGGACATTTGTCGGCAATGTCTCTGCTTTTTAATGTGCTATCTAGGATTGTCATAGTTTCTCTTTCAAGGAGCAAGCGTCTTTTAATTTCATGGCTGCAGTCACCATCTGCAGTGATTTTGGAGCCCAAGAAAATAAAGTCTCTCACTGTTTCCATTGTTTCCCATCTATTTGCCCTGAAGTGATGGGACCAGATGCCATGATCTTAATTTTGAATGTTGAGTTTTAAGCTAGCTTTTTCACTCTCCTCTTTCACCTTCATCAAGAGGCTCTTTAGTTCCTCTTCGCTTTCTGCCATATGGGTGGTGTCACCTGCATATCTGAGGTTACTGATATTTCTCCTGGCAATCTTGCTTCCAGCTTGTGATTCATCCACCCCAGCATTTTGCATGATGTACTCTGGGCATAAGTTAAATAAACAGGGCAACAATATACAGCCTTGACACACTCCTTCCACAAACTTGAGCCAGTCTGTGTTCCATGTTTGGTTCTAAATGCCACTATCCACACATTTAATGTTCTGCTTTGTCATCTAAGGGTTTCCAGGTGGTGCTAGTGGTAAAGAACCCACTTGCCAATACAGGAGATGTAAGAAAAGCAGGTTTGACACCTGGGTCACAAAGATCCCCTGGAGGAGAGCATGGCAACCCACTCCAGTTTTCATGCCTGGAGAATCCCATGGACAGAGGATCCTGGTGGGCTACACAGTCTTTAGGCTCACAAAGAGTCAGACATGACTGAAGTGGCTTAGGACATGCGCAAGGCATCTTCTTCACATTGATCTCAATGATGAGAGAAGTCCCTTTTGAAATCTGAGAGATGTTTTGTTAAAATTATCCCTTCCGCACCCAGGTAGGAGTATACTTGTAGAATTCATGGTCCTAAAATGTGACCCAGGTTGGAGATGAATTAACTGACTTAATTAATCATACTTTTTCCCATTCAGGGAAGGAAAGAAGGAAAAAAAGGAGGGAGGGAAGAAGAAAAGAATAAAGAATTTTGTAATATGTAAGAGGCATCTTACCAAAACATACAAAAGTAATAATTTTAAACATGAAGAAGTAAATATGAAAGCCAAGAGGCTAATTAGTTGTTATAAAAAACATTCATTGATTCTGAGCATCCTAGCAACCAGGGCAAAAAGGGAAAGACAATGGGTTGGTTATCTAATATCTATTACTCAATAGGATGCACGTGCACTCAATCGCTCGGCCATGTCCAGTTCTTTGCAACTCCATGGCAAGCACAGTCCATGGGATTCTCCTGGCAAAAATACTGGAATAGGCTGAAGTTTCCTATCCCAGGGGATCTTCCTGACCCAGGGATCAAACCTAAATCTTCTCCATTTGCAGGTGGATTCTTTACCACTGTACCACCTGGGAAGCCCTGCTCAATAGAATAGAAAAGACCAATTCAGAAGAAATACAACTTTTCCTAATGCTGAATTCTTTTTTGTTGGTTTTTCCAGTCAAGATTGAGGCATGATTGATAAATAAAATTGTACTATGTTAAAAGTGTACAGATTTGATATACATTGTGAAACAATTACTACAATCAAGTTAATTGACATATCCATCACCTTGCATACCTGTGTGTGTGTGTGTGTTGGGAATGCTTATAATTTGCTATCTTAGCAAATTTCAAACATATAGTATGGTATTACTAGCTATCATCATCATGCTGTACATCAAAGCCTCAAAACTAATTCATTTTAAAATGGAAAGTTTGTATTCTTTGCTCAACATCTCCCAATTTCCCTCACCCCCTCATGCTTGGGAACCATTATTCCTCTCTCTGTTTCTATAAGGTTAATTTTTTTGTTTTTAGATTCCACATATAAGTGATACCATACGTATTTGTCTTTCTCTGTCGGGCTTATGTCACTTAGGATAATACCCTCCAGGTTCATCCATGTTATCACAAATGTCAGGATTTCCTTCTTTTTATGGCTGAATAATATTCCATTATAGAGAGATAGGTAGATACCTAGATCAGTAGACTATATCTCCTTTATCTATCCATTTATCCACTGAAACAGCTTAGGTTGTTTCGTATCATGCTTCCGTATCATAAATAGTGCTATAATGAGTGTGGGAGTGCAGATATCTCACCAGCCTCTCTACTGTTCTTCTAATCTCGATTTCCTTTATTTCTGAATCAGCAGCCAGCACAGCATGTGGCTTGAGCAGGTGCAAAAAACAGTTGTTGAGCATTGGAAGGAGGGACAAGTGAAAAAAATCTATCCTGTACCTTTATGTTTTATCTCTCCCTCCCTTACTTAGGAAGCAGAGAGAGATACCAGGACCAAAGGAGAGAGAGACCTTGCTCCACCTGGTCATGGAAAAATGAAGATTTGCACCAAAAATTCGTGCAGTTGCTACTTCTACACACTCCTTACCCCAGAGACTACAAGTCCTTGAACTGGGGAAGCTGGGATCACAGGATGGTTGAGGAGCAAGGGCATTTGATTGAGGTCAGAGACTTATTTGGCTCAGACCTGGGTCCCCAAGAAGGGCCTCACACAGTCATATTGCATGGAGTTGCTGGAATCGGGAAGTCCACACTGGCCAGGCACGTGAGAAGAGCCTGGGAGAAGGGCCAGCTATACAGGAACCACTTCCAGCATGTCTTCTACTTCAACTGCAGAGAGCTGGCTGCGTCCAAGCTGACAAGTCTGGAGGAACTCATCACAAAAGACCAGTCCGCCACTGTGGCTCCCACTGGACAGGTCCAGTCTCAGCCAGAGCAGCTGCTCTTCATCCTCGATGGTTTAGATGAACTGGAATGGGTCTCGGAGGAGCAGAGGGTGGAGCTCTGTCTGCATTGGAGCCAGCAGCAGCCCGTGCAGACACTACTGGGCAGTTTGCTGGAGAAAACCATATTTCCGGAGGCATCCTTGCTGATCACAGCTCGGACTGCAGCTCTGCAGAGATTCATTCCTTCTTTGAAGCAGCCATGTTGGGTGGAGGTCCTGGGGTTCTCCGAGTCTTCTAGGAAGGACTATTTCTACGCATATTTCACAGAGGAAAGCCAAGCGACTAGAGCCTTTAGAGTGGTTGAATCAAACCAAGCACTCTTGACCATGTGTCTCACGCCCTTGGTGTCCTGGCTGGCCTGCACTTGCCTGAAGCAGCAGATGGAGGCAGGGGAAGAACTCTCACTGAGGTCGCAGACCATGACAGCCCTCTATCTGCGCTACCTTTCCCAGGCTATCCAAGCTCAGCCCCTGGGGACTCAGCTGAGGGGCTTCTGTACTCTAGCTGCTGAGGGTATCTGGAAAGGAAAGACTCTGTTCAGTCCAGGGGACCTCAAGAAGCATGGATTAGATGGGGTCATCAACTCCGCTCCCTTAAAGATGGATGTACTTCAAAAGCACCCCATGTCTCTGAACTACAGCTTCATTCACCTGTGTTTCCAGGAGTTCCTTGCAGCAGTGTCCTTTGCCTTATGGGACATGGGGGACAAAAGTGACCGTCCTAACAGCACTGGAAGCATGGAAAAGTTGGTAGAAGTATATGGGATCAACAACCCGTTTGGGGCACTGACCGTGCATTTCCTATCCGGGCTTTTGAGTGAGCAAGGAGCGAGAGAGGTGGAGAACATTTCCCAATGCAAGCTGTCTTGGGAGAGAAAGCGGGAGTCACTGCTGCGCTGGGCTGAACTGGAAGTCTGGCGTGAGCATTACTCTCCGCAATTGTTTCACTGTCTGTACGAGATTCAGGACGAGGAGTTCCTGACACAAGCGATGGCCCATTTCCAAGGAACAAGAGTGTGCATCCGAACCAGCATGGAGCTGCTCGTGTTCACTTTCTGCATTAGATTCTGCTGCCATGTGCGGCGGCTTCAATTGAACGAGGGCGGACAACACCAAGGAGCATGCAGGCCCGCCGACGCAGTGCTGTGAGTACCCCACCCTCTCTTCTCTCCGGCTCCTCTGTTGGCTCCACCGCCCTAGGCGCTGGAGTCACTTTTACTGAACTTAACCCCAGGGGCTCAAGGATCGAGGCCTCCAGCGACCACCATGGCAGACCCGCCCACCATCCCCCATCTGCCTAAGATTCCCTGCAGCAGGGTCCATCCATGTGACGTGCCCCTGCCTGCCTCTGGGTGGGCCCGCTGTGTCCTGCCACTCCTCGTCCTGTCTCTTCGACGACCACCATATTCTCCACCTCCTGTGCTGACCTGACTTCCCCTCCACGCAGCCCACCAGCCTCCCTTTCTCCCTCATGTTTGTCTCTAAGCAACCGCTCCCTCAGCTGCTTCAGACACTCCCCTTGATGGCTGTTGACCATGGCATTGGTCCAGAGATCTCCTCCATCACAGAATGTGTATGTCTGAAAGGTAGCCTCCATGTTCTGACTTCTGACTTCTTTGTGTCAATAATGCACTCCTGTACCCCAGGCACTTGGCCTAAAACCCTCCCCCACCAACCTGAATGTGACGGCAGAGTTTTCTCTAAACATCCTCCAACCCCATTCACTTCCCCACCCAGGTTCCCCAACCTCAGTTGCAGTATTGGTCATTTAGTCCTTTTATGATTTGTTCTGTGAATATTTATCTGGCACTGTTTTTAGGCCGGATCCTCCAAATCACAGATGAACAAACAAAACTCCTGCCTCAAAGAACTCAAAACCTGGGGTAGAAGACACACAACCACCCAGTAATTACAATTGAGTATGATGCTATGGTAACAGACAGCAAGGCATGATGTTGGCTGCAGAAAGAGAGAGAGTGTGTGTGTGCGTGCACACATGTGCACACATGCACGCTCAGTCATATCCCACTCTTTGTGGTTCCATGGACTGTAGCCTGCCAGGCTCCTTGATTTTCCAGGCAAGAATACTTGAGAAGGTTGCCATTTCCTCCTCCAGAGGATCTTCCTGACCCAGGGATCAAACCAGAAGTTCTCTTGTGTCCCCTGCATTGGTGGGCAGATTCTTCACCACTAGCACCACCTAGGCAGCCCATAGGAAGGGAGTGATCACACACAGAAAAAGGAGGAAAAAAGTGAAAGTGTTAGTCGCATCCGACTCTCTACGACACCATGGACCGTAGCCCGCCAGACTCCTTTGTCCATGGGATTCTCCAGGCTAGAATACTGGAGTGGGTTGCCGTTCCCTTCTCCAGGGGATATTTCCAACTCAAGGATTGAACCTGGGTCTCCTGCGTTGCAGGCAGATTCTTTATTATCTGAGCTGCCAGGGAAGCCCAATCACACACAATCACACAATCACACACAAGAAAAGAGTCAGAAGAAGAAATGTTGGATTTGGGTTTTTGCTTTTTCAGATTTTCAAGGGTTTTTTTCTCACAGAGAAACCCATGTCCATTATAGGAATATAAGAATATATAGAGAAGCAAAAAGACAGAAATTAATATTAACCAGAATGCCATCACTCAGAAATGACTGTCATTAAGAATTGAAGTATATGGTGCTATTGTGTGAAAATTGTACACATCTTAATTATGTTGAATCAAGTAGTGCTTTTCAGATCAACTGTATCATTCTACTTTTCTCTCTACTCATTCTAGTAATTTTTGAGAGTTTGACATTGAAACTCCAACTAAAAATCTTAATTTACCTACTTAAAAAATAATTATAGTAAACAGTGGAACTCTATGTAAATAGATGTATTTCTTCTGTATTTTCCAAGTCTCCTGTAAATGTGTTATCATGCTTTCATAATTTAAAAATTAAAAAAAATTTTTTTAATAAAAACATTCTTTAAAACATTGAGGTGTATGGAATTTCCCTGGTGGTCCAGTGATTAACACTCCATGCTGCCAATGCAGGAGATACAGGTTCGAGCCCTGGTCAGGGAACTAAGATCCCACATGCTGTGCAGAGCAGCCAAAAGATTTTAAAAAGAAACAAAAAAAGAATTGCGGTCTATCATCTAGTCTTTTTTATGCTGATTTTCATGGCAAAACTGAACCACACTGGACATTCTGTTTTACAGTTGGCTGCCCCTCTGCGCCACCACCCTGGGCTGGGGGCCCCTCTCCTCTGAGGCTCGTCAGTCTACAGCCCTTGTCGCACTCCTCTGAAGTGTTCATCGTGGATGTCTGCTTCTGCCTCAGTCTGGAAGTTTCTTGAGGGGAGAGGGGGCCGTTTTCCATCTTTTTTTATCTGCGGTGTTCGGGGGCAGTCAGGGAGGCTGCAGCCCTGGGGACAGCAGCTCCCACCCTGCACACACAGACCGCGGCCCTCCTACCCCTCTCTCCCTGCACAGGTTGAGCTGGGTCCCGGTCACAGAGGCCTGCTGGCGGGTTCTCTTCTCCGTCCTCCAGGTCACTGGAAACCTGAAGGAACTGGACCTGAGTGGAAACATCTTGAGCCGCTCTGCAGTACAGAGTCTTGGTGAGGCCCTGAGATGCCCTGGGTGCCACCTAGAGACCCTGCGGTGAGTCTGGCCTGGGCTCTGCTCCGAACAGGGAGGGACGGGAGATCTAAGACGGGCTCTGACTCTGGGAGCGGGAATTGTCCTTGCATTCAGCAAATACTCGTTGAGCCCCTCTCTGGCCCACCACTGTGCCAGGTGCCAGGGTCACCATGGTAAACAAACACAGGCGGGTGTCTATTCTCAGAGGGCTTGCAAAAGACCGACATTAGTCAAGGAACCATGCCAATAAAGGTGTAACTGCAGGGCCAGATGAGGGTCTCCAGTGGAAAATGCCCTTAAGGAAGGGACACTTGGGGACTCTCCTCGTGGTCCAGTGCTTAGGACTCAGTGCTTCCACTGCTATGGGTTTGAGCTTGATCTTTCACTGGGGAACTAAGGTCCTGTAAGCCTCACGGCACTGCCAAAAAAAGATATCACTTTATGCCTGATAACATGGCTATTATCAAAAAGGTAGAAGTCACAAGTATTGGAGAGGATGTGGAGAAAATGTGTACTTTCTCATACACTGTTGGTGAGAATGGAAATGGATGCAGCCACCGCGGAAAATGGTATAGATATTTCTCAAGAAAAACAAAAAGAAGAAGAACAGCACTATCATGTGAGCCAGCTATTCCACTTCTGGGTATTATGTGAAGAAGATTTTACTTGGGTTGGGCATCTTGATGAACTACTCATCATTCAAGGCATTCCTCGTACATTTCCACCTCCTTCCCTTGTCAAAATTAATCATTTCTTCTGCCTTCAGCCACACTTGACTTGTCCCTTGGGGCACCATCTACTTTTTAAGTGCCTACTATGTGCCAGACACTACTGTGGGCACTTGGGTACAGCTCGTAATGAAAATGGGCAAAACTCCCTCATGGAGCCTACATTCCAGAGGCGGTGGGAACAAGAAGTCAAAAGAACAAGTACAGTATATTGCGTGTGGTAAGGACTAGAGAGAAAGGTAAAGCATAAAGGAGTAGAGAGTTGGGGCTGGGTGTGCCATTTTAAATAGGGAGGGTGGTGAGGCAAGCTTCCTGCAAGGGGACTTTTGAGCAAAGACCTGGGAGCAGGTGAGGGAATAAGCCATGAGCTATCAGGTAAGATAGCTTGTTCCAGGCAAAAGAAAGAGCCAGTGCAGAGAACCTGAGGTGGGACCATGCCTGGAGAGTTTAAGGAACAGTGTGGAGGCCAGTGGAGAAGCAGCCAAAAGGAATACGAGATGAGGACAGAGGGGACAAGGAGTCAGACCGCCAGTGTCTCACAGTGTCTCAAGGACAATGAATTTCTCTCTGACGACCTGGGAAAACGTGGGAGGATTTTAATCCAAAGAGATCGAAAACCTGACTTACTGTTATTTGTTTCTATGTCTATCCCCCACTGCCTGTGCATTTCTGGGGGGCCTGGGGGCTTACTGACCTCCACCTGGCCCACAGGTGTAGGTGCTCAACAGGCTGTTCATGGGTGATTGTGGAATCAACAGATAAGTAAAGGCAAGGCCATCGTCACATGTCTCCCACAGGTTGGCCAGCTGCGGCCTCACAGGTGAGAGCTGCAAGGACATTACCTCTGGGCTGAGCGCCAGCCAAACCCTGATGCAACTGGAATTGAGCTTCAACACACTCCTGGATGCAGGAGCTGAGCACCTTTGCCAGGGCCTGAGACAGCCAACCTGCAAGCTGCAGCGACTGTTGTAATTGCTCCTCGTTGGCACTACTTTGTGGGGTGGGCACGGGGAGGCAGAAGGAGCTGCCCTAGCACCACGGGGCAGAGAGAAAGCAAGGGCTCATGGAGGCCATGAAAGATTCCCACTGAAGCCTTCATATTCCTCCTTAACTTTTGTTCTTATATTAGAAGCTCACTCTTTTCTCATCCTGTATTGTAGACACCCTTAATGTTGAAACCCACAAAATGCTGAAACCTATGTCAGGTAACTCTGGGCATTTGGGAGGGCCAAGGTAGTTCACAATGAGATCCAGGCATCCCAGTGGAACATCGGTGTAAATTAATCATACAACATCGATACAGTGAGTGAGCAGGATTCATGGGAATCACACGGAAGTGAAAAGGGGATGTGGTCTCTGTCCTGAGTGGCTCCTTGGCTGCAAGAGGAATATTTAAATCTCCCAGGTTCCTGCAAGCAAGGCAGGTCTTTATCTTCCTTTAATGTCACCCTAGAACCCTCAAAGGGCCATAGGTACTAGAAAGGAAAACCAGATGCCTGTTAGGACATTGACCGGGGGCCCCTGTCTTCCCTGCAGGCTGGAAGGCTGCGGCCTCACGTCTGGCTGCTGCCAGGACCTGGCCTCCATGCTCAGGGTCAGTCCCAGCCTGATGGAGCTAAACCTGCTGCAGAATGACCTGGACAACCTCGGCGTGAGGAGGCTCTGTGAAGGACTCAGGCACCCTTCCTGCCGGCTCATACTCCTATGGTGAGGCTCTGCGGGCCCCTTCTGGGCAGAGGGCAGGGAATGGAGGGAGGGGGTGCAAGTGCCGCAGAACTGGACAGAGGAAAGAAAAGGGACAGACAAATGCACGGTCAGCCAGGCTTCCTCACCAGTGACGCCACTTACTTAGGCCGTGTGACTCAGGCAGCTCTTCACCTGAGACTTGGTTTCTTTATCTGTCTAATGGGGCCATCATATCAATAAAATGTTTGTGAACACTAGGACAGAGTTCAGACAGAAATGGGCTTGGAGCACTGGAGTCCTGTGCAGCCAACAAGCAGTGAGCCCCCAGCCCTCCTTGCTGCCCTGCAGGCCCTGAGGGCGATGTTCTCTGAGCAGCAGCCCCTACCGTGACTCTCAGCCACTTCCTCTTTCCTCCACTTCCTGAGAATAAGTCCACTGGCTGTTTCTGGCTGAGCCCTTGCTTATTGCTCCTGGCTGGGGCCCTGTCACACACTCAGAGAGCTGAGGGCTCCAGACCCTCCATCCCCCACCCGCTCAGGTCCTCTGTTGAGCTCCAGCAGCCCTTAGAAACATAGTGGGAATCACAATATTAGTGGCTCAGTCGTGTCTGACTTCGCGACCCCAAGGATCGTAGCCCATTGGGCTCCTCTGTCCATGGGATTTTCCAGGCACAAATACTGGAGTGGGTTTCCATTCCCTTCTCAGGGGATCTTCCCGACCCAGGGATCAAACCCGGGTCTTCGAGGGGTCTGCAAAGTCTGGGCCCTGGCCACCTTCAGCCAGGACTCCCTCCTTTAGACTCTCAGGCCTAAAGGCAAAGTTGGGGCAAGATGATGAGATAAACACTCTGCAAGTGGATTCCCCCAAGGCTAACCCTGACTGTTTACAACCAGGGGGACTCCAGCTCCCTCCCCACCAGGCATTTCCAGCTACATACTGCAAGGCCTCTCCAGAGCTTGGCCTCAGCCGGGAAATCTGAATTTGTGGCCAGCTCACTGGTTACTGGTCAGACCTGGGTTGCCTCAGAGCAGCCTGTGCCTTGTGGTTCTGTGAAGGTTTCTGCTTCCTTCCTCCCAGAGTCCCGGGACCGGACTGGGAGGGACAACCGTCTACGTGGGGGGCTCCATCTTCTCCCTAGGGCACACTAGCTCTGATCACAGCAATGAGTGCGGCGTGCACTACCCTCTACAGTGCGTCCCGTCCGGGGCTCACGACAGGTGGAGCCTGTCCGTCTGTGTTAGAGAGGAGGGCACGGGGGCCCAGGAAGAGCAACAGCTATCTGAAATCTGAAGCAGCCCAGAACACAAGGCCAGGAGAACGGAAACAGGGCACTCGCCTTTCCAGCAAACCATCTAGCCTCTGAGCAGGAAATCCCAGGACCTACCCCTTGGTGGTCATCTTCAGGCTGTGGGGAATGGCTATTCTGTGGTGGACGCTGTGAGCCACTGCCCAGATGCTCTCCAGGAATGAGGATGTAATCCTAAGCCACTGGGAATGCTACTGACAGCCAGCTACTGGGATGATGTTTGCCTACAAGGGCCCCCTCTCCCAAGATCTCATCCCGTTCCTGGAGTGACCTGCATCTAAGGCCTGACCAATGTCAGGGTATAAAGACCCAGCGCCTCCTCCCAATTTGGGACAGCTCTGAGGGATCATCCCAACTTCAGAGCCTCCAGTAGCCTTGGCTGAGGTCTCCATTGAGACGGCATCACAGCCCAACTTCTTCCTCTCTGCCCAGATCTGTTTCCCTCTCCCCACCACCCTGGTGTTGATCCAAGAACACCCCCTAATAAACCTCACTCCACTTTCCATCTCAGAGCCGAATTCCCAGCAAACCCAACCTGCGACAGTTTCCTCTGGGAGGTGGCAGATTCCACCATCCTGAGCCCCCAAGGACCTCGGGATCACGCAGGGGTCCTGGGAGAACCAGGCTTCCTTTGTGCTTACAGGCTGGACCAGACTCAGCTGAGTGAGGAGGTGACCGAGATGCTGAGGGCCCTGGAGAGGGAGAAGCCTCAGCTGCTAGTCTCCGGGATATGGTAAGGTGGGGAGACTCAGAACCCCCTCCTGCTGTTCCAGGATCGGCTGAGTCCTTGGGGCAGGTCCAGAACCAAGAGATGGGGAAAGACATGGGGTGGAGGCAGACACAGCAGAGCAGGGAAGAAATCAAGAAAGCACAGCAGCCAGAGAGAGGTTTGGGCGTTGATTTGTTTAGTGCGAACAGAATTATGCCACTCCTCTGCTTAAACCTTTCATTAGATGAATGTGTGCATGCCAAGTCGTTTCAGTTGTGTCCGACACTGTGTGACCCTATGGACTGTAGCCTGCCAGGCTCCTGTGTCCATGGGATTTCCCAGGAAAGAAAACTGGAGTGGGTTGCCATTGCCTTCTCCAATAAGAAAATTTTAAAAAAAAAAAAAAAAGGTGAATGGGTGCGGGGATGAGATTTGGAACTTGGAAAGCAATGACCACTAGGGGGAGACAAAGACAGAGAGAGCCTTGGAAGTGCCAGACACCTACACCCCGACCCTCACCCGCCAATATACATATACACACAGCCGAAGAGGCTGGAGGGGTGAGCCCCAGAGATGGGAGAGTCCCTCTTCCTCCCCAGGGAATCTGCTGCAGCGCCCATGTTCTCCCAGTTTGGTGCATTTCAGCCTGTGACCCCAAAGGGCAACTGTTCCCTGATTCTCAGTAGCTGTGCCTCACCTTAAAAGGAAAGGAAAAGGCTCCCAGCTTTAGGAGGACCCACCTGTCACAGAACATGCCCTGTATCCCTCACACAATGTGTGAGGCACACAGCAGTGAACAAGGGCCCAAATTTCAGGAGCTCAGCCCAGCAGTTGCAAATTATTCCCTCCCCACCCCCACCCCAGCCACCCACCTCCGCCCACAGAACTACATCTGGGTTTCTTAAGGACACTGATGGGCCCACTAGATTCTATGCAGAGCAGCTGAGCTGAGCTCTGAAGGATGGGAGGGGTGTGCTGGGCCCGGAAGGGGTTGATTCCAGGCAGAGGTGGTGTAGCTTGCCGAACAAGAGCCAGATGCCTGAAGTGCATAAAGCCAAGACTAGTGCACTGGCTTTTGAGAAAAGAAAGAGCTTTATTGCAAGGTCCACTAGCAAGGGCACAGGAGGTAAGGCTCTCAAATCAATCCAGGGTTCAGGGTGACATTTAAGGGGTTTAGAGAAATGTCAATCTTGGAAGCTGATTGGCTAGTTTCAAATAAGCCAAACAAGCTACTTGCACTGCTGGAAGCCAGATCTTCCTTTTTTGAAGGACTTCTAGTCCCAAAAAGGGCTCCTGGGGCAACATTTCTATCCTTTGAGTTCTGTAGACTGAAGATTCTGGGTTCTGAATAATGGAGACATAGGTTCTGTCTTGCACGTGGGGGTGCTATCTAAATAACTCAAGGCTGCATTAATCAGTTAACTTATTTAAAGGCAGCAAAACCAGTTTAAGCTGGTCCATGTTTTACTTGCCATTTCAGTAGAGGTGCTGACTTGGCTTCTTTGAGGAATAGGAGGTCAGGGACCTGGAGCAGAGCTACTCAAAGTGTGGTCCTCAGAATCAGCAGCATAATCAACATTCCCTGGGAGCTCAGAGGGCTTTCCAGGCGTCTCAACAGTAAATAACCCACCTACGGATACAGAAGACTCTGGTTCAATCCCTAGGTCAGGAAGATACCTTGGAGAAGGAAATGACAACCCACCCACATATTCTTGCCTGGAAAGTCCCATGGACAGAGGGGCCTGGCGGGCTAAAGTCCATAGTGTAGTGAAAGAGTCAGACATGACTTAGCGACTAAACAACAGTAAGGAGCTCGGCAGAAAGGCCCCACTCCAGACCTGCTGAGTCAGAATCTTGGGGTGGGCCCAGGAATCCATGTTCTAACCCAGGGCTTAAGGTGATTTTTAACACTGATCTAGAGCCACGGGAGCAGGGAGACTGGCACAGGTGGGGCTGGGGGTGGGAGGCAGTACCTAACATCTTTTGGGCCACGTTAAGAATTTCGATCTTACTCCCCAAATCAATAGACATTTCAGGGCTTCAGCATCGAAGTTCTGTGCCAGGTTCCCATTTTCAGATCAGCTGCTGAGTGGACAGTGGACCAGAGGATCAAGAGCAAAAACAGGGAACCCTTTAAGATGAGGCAGTGGTTCTAGCCACAGATGTCAGGGCCTGGGACCAGGGTGGAGGCCATAAAGATGGAGAGAAAAGAGCTGTTTTGGAGGCTGCGTCAAGGTGATCAATCAGCTCTCAGATTAGCCAAGGGAGAAGTCAGGATGATGCCTCAGTTCCGGTATAAACAGCTGGGTGGATGGGGGCCATTCATGGAAGCAGGGACTACAGGAGAAGCACCATGAGGATCAGGAGTTCAAATTCCCATGAGTTGAACTCAAGTGGGGATGTCGTGGAGACGGCCCCCAGAATCCTCCACGATCTTAGGGAGAATGAATTCTATCCAGGAAGCCAAGTCTGAGGATCCTTCATGAGGTCCCACATGGAGCAGAGATGAGCGATACGTCCTCACTCAAGCGACAGAGACAAGCATCAGGTAGTTTGAAGGGGCCAGGCTGGGAGCATCATGATGTGGGCTTGCGGAGGTGGAAGGGGTTATGGCAGCTGTGAAAGGTCATTCCCTCCATCCTCCTGCCTTTGGAGTGGGACAGAGACACCTAGGGGAGACTCCATGAGAGATCTTCCACTCCCCAAACCTTGCAGGATTTCTGCTTCCCTCTCTTCCAGCCTCAGGGGGCTGAACTGTTCCTCTCCTAAATATCTACAGCATGACTCATACTCTGAACCAGAGCCCAGTCTCTTAAGGCCCACTCTGGGATTCTAAGGCCTGGAATCCCCTCTCCATCTCTGCCTGTCCGTCTTTGGAGCCATGTTCCCCTCAAAAGCTGACCACCCAGGGAGTGCTGCGAAGAGCAATAATTCTGGGAAGTGAGAAAGGGGAGGGAGGAGGGTTTGGGCAAGTGGAGGAAGCAGGGTTGAGCCCCCTTGGATAGCAGACTGGCCTTGGGAAGGGTCCCTCTGTGGTCTAGCCTAGCGGGCCAGGGGCAGCCAGGCAGGAGAACCTAAAGCTGGCCACTGCCCTGTCTGTTCTAGAAGGCAGCTCTCCTCAAGCAGCACAGGTGAGACCCTTCTGTCTGTCTTCTCCTGCCCCTCCGGGGGACGAGCACATGGAGTCTCTGGGGACCGAGGATGACCTCTGGGGCCCCACAGGGCCTGTGGCTACTGAGGCGGTTGACAAAGAAAGGAGCCTGTACCGGTAAGTGAGGGGGCCTGGCCTGTCCCAGCCCCTCCATCCCCATGCTGGGTCCCCACAGACAGTCTGCACCCCAATCATGGTCCATTGTATCCCCCTTCACCACGCCACTGTGCAAAGAAAGACAGGACTGAGATGTTGGTTGGTGTTTTATTATGAAATAAGAAGAGGTTTGGATGGGGGAGGAAGAACGTTGGTTGGGATTTTTTTTAATATTTATTTGTATTTATTTATTTTTGGCTGTGCCAGGTCTTAGTTGCAGCATGTGGGATCTAGTTCCCTGACCAGGGATTGAACCCAGGCCCCCTGCATTGGGAGCTCAGGGTCCTAGCCAATGGATTACCAGGGAAGTCCCTGGAAAAAGAGATTTTGTTATGAAAAATTTTAAATAGACACACAAGTAGAGTCCAGGGAACTTCCATGTACCCACTATTCAGCTTCAACCTTCATTTTACCAACTTTGTTTCAACTATCCACTTTCTGCCCCTTTTTGGAGTATTTTTAAGTCCAAAGAAATGGGTGTTTTTAGCCTTAAATATTTTGTGATACCTTTCAAACAAAGACCTTTTCTTCCATAACCACAATGTCATTTTTCACATGTCAAGAAGTTTACAATTAAGCCTTTCATATCACCAGTACCCAATCCTTATTCAAATATGTTCAATTGTATAAAGAGTGTCTTTGCAGATGATTTGTTCTAATCATGATCCAAAGACAGACCACTTGTTATATCTGACTTTTTATGCTGCTTTAATCTCACATCCTGTACCTCCTGCATTGGCAGGCAGGTTCCTTACCACTAGCACCACCCAGGAAGCCCAGGGGAGCCAGGATTCCATCTGACGTCAATGTCTGGGCTTATATAGACACTCTATAGGATCCATAGTGCCCAGCACAGGGCCTGGCACCCAGTAGGTGCTCAGTGAGTCTGCGTACAGTAATCCAGTGTCCACTTCTCCCCATTTTTTGCAGAGTTCACTTGCCCGTGGCTGGCTTCTACCACTGGCCCAACACGGGTCTCCGCTTTGAGGTGAGAGGGCCAGCAACCATTGAAATTGAATTCTGTGCCTGGGACCAGTTCCTGAACAGGAATTTCCCACAGCACAGCTGGCTGATTGCAGGACCTCTGTTTGACATCAAGGCTGAACCAGGTGCTGTGGCGGTGGTGTTCCTCCCTCACTTTGTGGCCTTCCAAGGTAAGCAGGAGGGAGAGGCGGAAGCAAGGTGATGGTGGTAAGAATGAGCCTGAAAAGGGCTTTAGAGGAGATGTCCTGAGGGGGACTCATGGCCGCTTAGAGAGACTGAGAAAGGATTAACAGAAATGGAGACAGCTTTTCTCTCATTCCATGGTGCTCTGGGCATATCTTTTTTGAAGCACTTTTGTCCCCAGACTCATAATTATTTTTGCCTGAATTACTTAAAAGCTTCCCTAAATAGAAAGTACAATACAAGCTAACATTGAGCTTCCCTGGTGGTACAGTGGGTTAGAATTCACCTGACAATATAGGAGACATGGGTTCAATCCCTGGCCCAGGAAGATCCCACTTTCCGCGGAGCAACCAAGCCCGTGAGCCACAACTATTGCGCCTATGCTCTAGAGTCCATGCTCTGCAAGCAGAGAGGTCCCCACTTGCTGGAACTAGCCTATGTGCAGTGATGAAGACCCAGGGAAGGTCATAAATAAATGCAATAAGGAGGGGATATCAATTATTCTGAAAAAAATTATAAAAAAAAAAACTCACAGTCAAAAATTACAAATGGTAAACAAGGCATCACAAATGAGAACCAGAAGAAACACAGGTACCAGAACTGGTCCCATTAAATGAATACATTAATTAATTAAAATAACTTAAAAATAAGAAAATAATAAGAATCAACCCCATAAAGACTCCACACATTTTGTGTAATCAGAAACAAAACACAAAAGAAATGTGTTCATATACTTATGGGGCTTCCCTCATAGCTCAGTCGATAAAGAATCTGCCTGCAATGCAGAAGTCCCAGATTCGATTCCTGGGTTGGAAAGATCCCCTGGAGAAGGCAATGACAACCCACTCCAGTATTCTGGTTGGGTTACAGTCCATGGGGTCCCAAGAATTCAACATGACTTAGCGACTAAATCACCATATACTTACAGAAATCACCCTGGGAAAAAATAAGCAAAAAGCAATAAATCATTAAAAATGATAAATCAAATTTGAAAACAAGCTAATTAAAGAAAATAGGAAAACATTTTTTAAAAAATTAAGTGACATGGAGGATAGGATACTATGAGAAGGCCTAGAATACACCTAATCAGAATTCCAGCAGATATGGCAGAGAGAAAGGAGAAGATGAAATACTCAAAGAGAGAATTGCCAGGAAATTTCTATGATCACTGAAAGATGTGACTTTTCTGTGCTGTGTTGTACTTAGTCGCTCAGTCGTGTCTGACTCTTTGCCACCCCATGGACTGTAGCCTACCAGCCTTTTCTGTCCATGGGGATTCTCCAGGCAAGAATACTGGAGTGGGTTGCCATGCCCTCCTTCAGGGGATCTTCCCAACCCAGGTCTCCCACGTTGCGGGCGGATTCTTTATCATCTGAGCCACCAAACAGGCCCAAAAGGTAGTATTCTAGTCTCCCCATTGGGGAATTGAACCCCAGTCTCCCACATGACAGGCGGGGATACTCACCATGATACTAAGAGGAAGACACACAATGATGAAAAATTGAAAAAAATCCATGGGCTATGACAGAAACATGAAAAGGTGTTGCTTCAAAGAAAGACTAGTGGAAAAGAGAAAGATGGTAATTATAGTTGTATTTAGTGAATTCTTCAGCATTTTGTCAGATGGTGTATACCATGTGATATTATTTTCACACCCAGAAAAGCAATGAATGTGCTCTCTGGGTGCCTTTTCTGGGATTAAAATCAGTCAGCAATGTTCTGACCGGTGCCCATCAGCCTAAGGGCCTTGTCTGGCTTGCTGGATGTCCCTCTGCTACCCGGAAACCACTGCATTGCTGCAGTTGCCAAACAACACAGAGATGGAACCAGGACCCCTGATTTCCAAGCCTGTGCCTCTCCCACTACCAGCCTTCATCTCTCAAGCTGCCTCTTCATCTCAAACTCATCAGTGTCCATACCTTGTCAGATTTCTTGACTGCAAACTCACTCTGACTGATTTAGGCAGGAAAGGAACATATAAAAAGATTCCTGAGCAACTTGTAGACTTAACAGATTAGGCAACATTAAAAAAAAAAAAAAGGCAGTGTGCAAGGATGCTGAGAACCAACAAAAGTAGGAAGAGGCCTGTGCTGCAGGCACAGCCATTGCAGGACCCTCCTGCCATGGTGGCTGCTGGATTCGATCCACTGCTACTGCCAGAAGAATCTCTCTTCACTCTCTCTAGATCCAGGTCCTGGTAAGGAGCATTCACTTACTCCAGTGTTGGTCACATGCCTCATCATAGCCACCAGGGAATAGCAGCTTCCAGGGTGGGAGGCCCAGCTTGTCTCCTGCTGAGACCCCCCACACTGGTGGGGAAGGGGTTCTCCCCTAAAAGAGGAGTATGAATGGTGGGTGGCCAAACACTGGACAAGTGTATACTACCCTTGGCTGCTCCATTTCCTCACTGTCCCTTCCTCCTCCTCGTCCTCCCTCTGCCTGGAGTCAAACCCGCCCGCATCGCTCAGTGGCCCTCATGGTTAGAGACTCCACACCAGCCAGTAACCACAGGGTCCATAGCTTTCCCAACTCCTGGGTCAGGGGCTGGTCCTCTGTATGGGTTTGGCTAAAGGGAGTTTCCGTGGTGCTCCCACCCTAGAGACAGTATTGCCTGAAGCCCCCAAAGGTGGCAGGCCTATGCATGATGGCTTCCCTAGGAAGACCACCGAGCCTACAGTCAAGGACGTCACTCCCCCAGCCAAGTCTGATTCAGTGAGGTACTAAGTCCTTGCCTCTCATATCCGTCCCTTGACAGGGAACGATGTGGACATCTCCCGGTTTCAAGTGGCCCACTTCAAAGAGGAGGGGATGCTCCTGGAGAAGCCAGCCAGGGTGATGCCATGTTATGCCGCCCTGGAAAACCCCAGCTTCTCGCCCATGGGAGTTCTACTGAGGATGGTCCACACTGCCCTGCGCTTCATTCCCATCACCTCCACTGTGCTGCTCTACCATTACCTCCAGCCTGAAGAAGTTACCTTCCACCTCTACCTGATCCCCAGCGATTGCTCCGTTCAGAAGGTGGGAATAAGAGCCAGAAAGGTTGGGCCAGGGTGGGCTTGACAACAAATAGGAAACACATCCAAAGAGTCCCCTAGATGGGTCAACTGGGAATTGGGATGGGCCACTCATAAGCAGGAACCTTGAAGTGGGTAAATAGTCCTGCTCCTGCCCAGCCATGGACTAGTCTGGCTCCCCAAGGTCTCCTCCGGCTGACTTGGCCACACCATCACTCATCTCGGGACAAGCCTCTTCCTAGGAGTCAAAAGAACGGGTAGTTTCCATGCTTATTGTTGCTGTTTGGTCACTAAGTCATGTCCAGCTCTGCGATGCTCTGGAGTACAGCATGGACTGCAGGCTTTCCTGCCCTCACCACCTCCCAGAGTTTGCTCAAACTCATGTCCATGGCATTGATGATGGCATCCAAACATCTCATCCTCTGTCATCCTCTTCTCCTCCTGTCCTTAATCTTTCCCAGCATCAGGGTCTTTTCCAGTAAGTTGGCTCTTCGCATCAGGTAGCCAAAGTATTGGAGCTTAAAACTGTCTCTTTTCCCCTGTTACCATGTCTTCTCCAACATCGCCAATTCCCGGCCTGAGCACAGCAGAGTCCAGGCATGGGTGGGGGGTGGGAAGCCAGCAGCGGGGGTACAGCCCCCATCACCCCCCACACACACACAGAAACATCATCTCACTTTGTTCAGACCGGGTTCTGTAGGAAGAATCTGAGTCAGGGGCCAGACACATCTGCTGCTTTGATCCATGTTCTGTATTCCTCAGGCCATAGACGATGAAGAAAAGAAGTTCCAGTTTGTGCGAATTCACAAACCACCCCCGCTGACCCCGCTCTACATGGGCTCCCGCTACACTGTGTCTGGTTCAGAGAAGCTGGAGATACTGCCGGAGGTGAGCAGCCCAGGCGGTCAGCCATCGCTGGGGTCAGAGGTCTTGCTTGGAAATACCTGTGAGTGGGTCTCAGAGCTTTCCCAGGGACTGGGTGAACTGGGGTTGGGCAAACAGCAAGTGGGGCTTCCCTGGTAGCTCAGCTGGTAGAGAATTTGCCTGCCATGCAGGAGACCCCAGTTTGATTCCTGGAGAATCCCCATGGACAGAGGAACTTGTGTGCTACAGCTCATGGGGTCACAGAGTTGGACACCACTGAGTGGCTAAGCACAGCACAGAAAACAAGTGAGATTTAGGGTGAGCAGGAATGCTTCAAAGGGTAGGAGACAGGAAGCTGGGGAGGGTCACATTCAGGATGGGGACAACACTGGGAAGAGTTGGGCTATAGAGTGACAATGACCTCCAATTAAAGCCACCAAGGACTTCCCTGGCAGTCTAGTGGTTAAGACTCCATACTCCCCCTACTCCCCCCCACCAAAAAAAGACTCCACACTCCCAGTGCTGGGGGCCCAGGTTCAATCCCTAGTCAGGGAACTAGCCCCCACTCTCCACAACTAGAGAAAGCCTTTGGGCAACAACAAAGACCCAGTGCAGCCAAAAATAAATAAAGATGTAAAAAAGAAAGGAAAAAGCAGGATCTAAAGATTGACTTCAGTCCAGGAGATGGTCAGAGTTGAGCAGGGCCAAGTGAGGTGTCAGGTGGGGAAAGACCTTACTGGCAGGCTGCAAGGTGGCTTCTCATGCAGTGATTGTCTCTCTCTACAGGAATTGGAGCTCTGCTATCGGAGCCCTCAAGAATCTCAGCTGTTCTCTGAGTTCTACGTTCGCCATTTGAGGTCAGGGATCAGGTTGCAAATAAGAAGCAAGAAAGATGAGACTGTGGTGTGGGAAGCCTTGGTGAAGCCAGGTAAAGTCAAGTCCAGGGAGCACAGAGGTGGAACGAGAGAAAGTCAAAGAATGTGTGTGTGTGTGTGTGTGTGTGTGTGTGTGTGTGAGAAAGAGAGTTTGTATTATCACACCTTGCTGATGAAAAGAAATAATCCAGGGGAGTTCTGCGCCTTTTCCTAGTGACAACAACTGATAAGAGGAGAATTGGAACTCAGGTTCAGTCCAGTTCAGTTCAGTCGCTCAGTCGTGCCAACTCTTTGCGATCCCATGGACTGCAGCATGCCAGGCTTCCCTGTCCATCACCAACTCCCAGAGCTTGCTCATGCTCATGTCCATTGAGTCGGTGATGCCATCCAACCATCTCATCCTCTGTTGTCCCCTCCTCCTGCCTTCAATCTTTCCCAGAGTCAGGGTCTTTTCCAATGAGTCAGTACTTTACATCAGGTGGCCAAAGTATTGGAGCTTCTGCTTCAGCATCAGTCCTTCCAATGAATATTCAGGACCGATTTCTTTTAGGATTGACTGTTAGATCTTGCAGTCCGAGGGACTCTCAAGAGTCTTCTCCAACACTCCAGTCCAAAAGCATCAATTCTTCAGAACTCAGGTTAACCTGACTGTAAGCCCTGTGCTCACTTTCTCTTGCACCATGTGTGTCCACTCTGCCCTTGAATAGACTTTGATACCCACAAGGTTTTTGGCAGTTTCTCACGAAAGCTTGGAAGGTAGATGAACGAGGAAGAACTAAGGGACTCCCTAGTGGTCCAGTGGTTAAGACTCCAAACATCCACTGCAGGGGGCACAAGTTTGATCCCTGGTTTGGGAACTAAGATCCCACATGCCATGCGGTCAAAAAAAAAAAAAAAAAAAGAGTAAGAACTAGATGCTAGATGGTTGTATGGTTGTGTGGATTAGGCCAGTTCTGGCAACATCAGATACTCTAACCAGGATCATTCAGTTATTGTCAAGGCAGGCAAAAGGAAATCCAAATATTGAACTCTCAGGAATGGAAGAAATTTTACAATCTCTTAATCCAACACCAGCATCCCCAAGAAACAAAATCTCCTGGACAGTCCTTCCTAGGACAACCAGCCTTTGTCGGTTGGTTGGTCACATTCCATCCTGAGCTGCACAGGCATCACAGTGTGGGAGAAAGAGAATGGACTTTACTTGGTCCCAGCTTGTGTGCAGACACAGGTGGAGAACTCACCAGCCCCAGCTAGGGCCCTTACTTTCTGGGTCATCTTAAGAACATTACCTAATTCATTTGAACCTGGGTTCCTCATCTGTAAAGTAAGGATCACGATGCCGAACCTGTGGAATTGTTGGAAAGATTAAATAAAATATGTTCATGTCTCATGCTGTGGTTCCTAGTAAAAAGTGAAAGTGTTGGTCAGTCAGTCGTGTCCAACTCTTTGCGGCTCCATGGACTGTAGCCCGCCAGACTCCTCTGTTCATGGAATTCTCCAGGCAAGAATACTGGAGTGGGTATCCATTCCCTTCTCCAGGGGATCTTCCCAACCCTGGGGTAGAACCTGGGTCTCCTGCATTTGCAGGTGGATTCTTTACCATCTGAGATGGAAATAGTAAAGCCCAGTGGTCCCTAGTAAATAGTAGCAATATTATTCTTCTTCCTTGTACTAAGCCAACTTCCTTGCCTATCTTGATTCTGTCCCTTGGAGCTGACAGATCTATTTCTATTTATAATCTGTTTCTCCTGGGAGAGCCCAGGAGAAAGTATCAAGAAGAGTATCTCTTCAAGAAGAGATATTTGAAGACTGGGATCAAGGCCTCCCCTAAGTCTTCTCTTATGCAAGTTAAATACCTCTACTTCCATCATTCCTCTTGTATTTTGGTTTTTAAATTCTTTGCCATTCAGACACCTTCCTGGTAGATGTTACCATTTACAGATGAGCCGGGATGGACTCCCTGGGTGTCCAGTCTTGGGCAGGGGGGTGTGGAATCCCCTCCTCCACCCTCCAAATGAACCCAATGCTCCCGAAGCCACAGCTGGAGCTCCCCTATCCTGTGCCCACCTCCACACACCATCAGGTCACCGTGGACCTGAGCCTGCTCAGACTCTCAGGCCTTGTCCACATGAGCTGTTGTAAATAGCCCCTTTCTCGCCTTATGCAAGTAACTGGCTAAGCCCCTTGAGTTACTTCTGTTGTTTTGCTATTGAAATTATCACATTACTCCCAAGTGCTAAGGTTTTCTTGATTCCTTTTTAAAAAAAAAAAAGTTATTTATTTGGCTGGGCCAGTTTTAGTTGCAGCATTGCAAATTTTTAGTTGTGGCATGTGAACTCTTAGTTGCAGCAGGTGGGATCTAGTTCCCCAACCAGGGATTGAACCCAGGCCCTCTGTATTGGGAGCACACAGTCCTAGCCACTGGACCACCAGGGAAATCCCTTGATCTTCTGACATCAAAATTCAGAACAGATTTGATCTGTGTGAATCTAGAAGGCCAAACATGGGCAAGGAGATAGATGTCTGTTCAGAAGTTTAAGACGTCCTTAAACTATTTAAGGACATCTTAGATAGTTTAAGCTATCTAAACCCTGGTTAGTTCTCTACCAGGGTTCCCTTCAGGACAACACTGGATAAACCATGTCTGGGTGCTGAGAAAAACTGCTATTGTTCACTTGGATGCCTCTTATCTCTCTCCCACCCTCTGTCTAATCATGGCTTCTGGGCCTCAGTTTCCCCATATGCATAAGGAAGGGATTCACCCGGATAATCTCTAAAGGCCCTTCCAGCCCTTACTCCAGATTCTATCAGAATTTATCCGTAGCTTGTTCTCAGAATGAGAGAATCTCAGAAGTAGGTAGGAGTTTAGAGGAGTATCGCGTGTGTAAATAACCAGCACTGTTACAATGCTTCTTCATCTCTGTTTCCCTCCAGGAGATCTCAGACGGGCAGTTACTCTGGCCCCTCCAGGCCTCAGAGGTCAGTAACAGGTGTTAGAGACCGCATGAGCCAGTGACAATTCTGGGGTGTACTTTCAGGTCCTGGAGAGTTGGGAAGAGGGGAAGGAAAGACTCTCATTGCAAATCTCACAAGCAGTCAGGCCCTGGAGAGTGCTGTGCACCCCATGCCCCTTCCTCCTGCCCATGGGAGCCCTGGCACCTCCCACCAAACCACCTCAGACGCCTCCACCAAGAACCCCACTCCAAGCTCAAGCAGAATGGGCAGGTGTTGACGTGAGGGAGGGCAAACGTGGCTTTCTGGTGGTCAAATGCCTTTACAGGGCAGAAGGAAGCCAGGGATGCAGAAAAGCTGAGCGAAGAGAAGTAGAGATGGAGGGTCAGAGGAAGGGACGGAGGCACGAGCCCTTCTTTGTTTGTTTCCAGCCTCACCTGGCTCCCCAGCTGCCCTGCGATTGAGGCACTTTGTGGACCGATATCGGGAGCAGCTGGTGGCTCGAGTGACATCCGTGGACCCTGTCCTGGACAAGCTGCACGGACAGGTGCTGAGCGAAGAACAGTATGAGGGGGTGCGGGCAGAGGCCACCGCGCCAGGCCAGATGCGGAAGCTGTTTGGGTTCAGCCGATCCTGGGACTGGGCCTGCAAAGATCGTCTTTACCAAGCCCTGAAGGAGACCCATCCTCACCTAATCATGGAACTCTGGGAGAAGTGGGGCAGTGAAGAGACCAGGCCGGGCTCCTGACAAGCTGGGCCGCTGTCTGAACACCTGCTGTGAGTCCCGGCTCTGCCTGAGAGCACCTGGGCCTGTTGTTCTTCGGGATACAAGTTACCATCCGAGTTGCCTTCTAGGCCTAAAGAAAACTTTGATGATGACGCCTTTGCTGGGCATTACCTTGCCCTGCCCAGGAAAGCCACACAGGAACCCAGACGGCCTCCCTTGGCTTTCACGGGCCAGCTGTCCAGATGAAATGACAGCATCTCAGAGAATGTCCACCTGGAGCTGGCAGGAGTTCTGCAGACCTTGTAGCAGCCTCGCCCAAGAGCCTGGTCCGCTGGCCACAGCAGCCAAACCCAGAGTCCTCCCTGTGCTATCCAGACGCAAAGAGGAGCAGAGAGAACATGGGGCTGGGGGCTCTGGCTGGAGATAGACAATGGAAATGGACACCTTGGGGGTTTTGAATGGCTTGTGAACAGGAACAAAAACAGATTGGTTTTTCACTTGTCCAGCCAGGGCTGGGGCACCCACGTTCCCCTCAGGGCCCTCCTTGGGTTCATTCCCAGGGGAACTCGAGCCCACCCAACAACCTGTAGACAGCCAAGAACAAAAAGGGACTCAGAGGCTCCTACATGCAGAAGGCACGACCAAGGGTGTCTCTACTTTCCAGGCTCCCCCAAACCCACAACCCCAGGCCCAACCATCAGAGGGGCCATGAAGAGGGAGGTTTACGCCCAGGGTCCCAAGGCAACCCCTCCTCAAAGACAGCGGCTGGAGGGCTGCGGTCCCACTCCCGGGACATCCTGTTCCACACAGATGAGCAAACTCATGGGATAATGCAGAGATGTTCCCCAAATCACAAAATATTTGAGCACAGAAAGTGACTTGGTAACAACTCCCAAATAAAGTCGGGGAAATGTCGCGGTGCAAACCAAAATTTCTGGTTGATGTCAGCAGTCATGGATTGTTTCTTTCTACAGGGAGAACAGATAACAAAGGTCAGACAGGCGGGCACATACACATATCTACACACACCATTCCCCCAAACCACGAGATGACAGAGTATCAAACACCCCAAAACACAAACCCTCTATTTTCACTCACACCCATCCACCCTTTCTTTCCTCTCCCAACTGGCCCCAATGCCTCAGAAAGCTGAAGTGTGCATGAGTTCCAGAATGATCGAGAGGAAGCAAGAGACCACAGCTGGGGATAGGGTGGCCCTAGGATACCCAAAGGTGCCCAGGCTGCCCGGTCTTCCCACAAGCTCTTGGAGAAGCTCAGGCCTCTGGCGAGAGGCCTCCTAGGGTGCATCCAGCTGAGTTTTCTCCCTAGCTAGGAGGGTGGCGACCCCGAGACCTCTGCAGACTAAGTGTGGGAAAAGCCCAGGTGCACTCCGGGCCAAGACCCGGGACCACAGAGAGAGGAGGTGGAGGTCAGGGGTGAGGGTGCGCAAGGAAGGGTCTGCCTGCACTGCCCTCTCCCGCGGGGTTCCCCTACTCACTTCCCTCCCTTCCAATCCACTGCAGTCTCTTGTTTCTGGAGGCCCAGTAATCTATTCCCAAATCGGGAGCCAACTTCATGGCAGCCAACTGAAAAGTGGGGTGGGTCTTGGGGGAGGAGAATGGCCAGAAACAAAGGCAGGTCCGGAACTGGGGGGAAAGATGCTTGGCTACTTTGGATCCGAATCCTAATCGCCAACAGTTGGGGTACTGAGGGAAAGGCAGTGAGCTGGGTACCAAATCCTGGCTTCACCCACTAGATGTGGTCCTGGAAAAGTCTAAACCGCTGTGAACTTCAGTTGTGGGGTCTGTTAAAGGGGGACAATGATACTTGCCTGAAATGGTTGACGATGGCATGGACTGATGTGTAAGGTGAGTCCACAGCTACTGATTCAGTGAACAACTGTCAGTCAACAAACCTCACCTTCATTGTGCTTGAGGACGTTCTAGGTGAGCAGTTTATATTCCAGTGGTAAGGAAATATTAATAGAAATCATAAATCCATTTTGGACTTCCCTGGTGGTAGAGTGGATAAGAGTCCGCCTGCTAATACAGGGGATCCGGGTTCAGTCATTGTTTGCGGAAGATTCCACATGCCTCGGAGCAACTAAGCCTGCAGGCCCCAGCTCCTGAAGCCCTATGCCTAGAACCTGTGCTCCACAACAAGAGAAACCACCTCAGTGAAAAGCCAGTGCACTGCAGCTAAAGAGCAGCCCGGGCTTGCTGTAACTAGAGAAAGCCTGAGAAGAGCAAGGAAGACCCAGCACAGCCAAAAATGAGATAAATAAATTCATTTAGAAGATACTTTCACATACTGTGAGGTACTTTTAAGAAAACAAAAATTGGAGAGGGTGATAGCTGGGGGTGAGGGAACAGCATACAACTTTAGAATGCTCAGGGAGAAAGGACTTTTCTGAGGAAGTGACATTCATGAAGGACTTTCCTGAGGAGGTGACCTCTGAGTCAGACCTTTGCCCACAGACATCCTTGCTGTTGGTAGTACTGCTACTGCTTTGTGCCCTAGAAATGCAGAAATTCTGATAACAGTCTTCCGTATCTCCTTTCGCACCTTTTTTCTATCTCTGCTGTTTGTCGTTTAGTCGCGGAGTTGTGTCCAACCCTTTTGCGACCCCATGGACTGTAGCCCACCCAGCTCCTCTGTCCATGGGATTTCCCAGGCAAGAATACTGGAGTGGGTTGTCATTTCCTATTCCAGGGGATCTTCCCAACCAGGGAATGAACCCACACATCCTGTGTTTCCTGCATTGGCAAGCGGATTCTTTACCACTGAGCCGCCTGGGAAGCCCTATCTCAGTAATCATATATATGTTTGTGTATCCACTGACAAAATCTCTCCTGGACCAAACTTTACTTAGGCTCTTCTGAATCCTCTTCCCAACTGGGCCTTGACTCTTGGAATTCCATGTCATTTTTTGCATTTTTGGGTTTTAGTTAGAACCCTACTAATTTAGTTTATCCAGAATCACCCACCCTTGATACCTGATTAACTTCCTCATCCTCCACATGATACCTGATCACTCTGGCCTGCTTTCAGCAACAATCCTGTTAGCAAAGAATTACCCAACTCTCCCAGTAGCTTTCCACTGACAAACACACCACCAGCACCACTACCACTGCCCCATCTCCCAGCCAGCCCACTCTGCCCTTGGCTATAAAGCCCCAACTTTCCCTTGTATTCAGAGTTGAGCCCAATCTCTCCCCTCTGCTGCCAAATGCTATCACAGAAGTTCCTATACCTATCACAATGTTGTTATTGTTTAGTCACTAAGTCAAGTTCAACACTTTTGCAACCTCATGGACTGTAGCCAGCCAGGCTCCTCTGTCCATGGAATTTTCCAGGCAAGAATATTGGAGTGGATTGCCATTTCCTTCTCCAGGGGATCTCCCTGAGCCAGGGATCAAACCCGCATCTCCTGCTTGGCAGGCAGATTCTTTACCACTGAGCCACCTGGGAAGTCCATCTATCACAGTAGTTCTCAATAAATTCTGCTTACTATTTGAACAACTGTCATGAATAATCTTTTTCTTTAAGAATGCATGCACACTCACACACACACACACACACAGGGTTTGTGACTGTCTTATGAAACCCCTCGTCAAATCCTCCCAGGTAGGGACACACAGTATTTCGAGACAGAAGCCTGATATGTCCTCATTTGCCTGGCAAAGCAATAAAGCTATCCTTTTCTACATCACCCAAAATTCAGTCTCTGAGATTTGATTTGGCACTGGTGTACAGAGAGGCCAAGCTTTCAGTAACAAGGGGAAGAGGCTTGCAGTGCGATGGGCACTGGGTATTAGTCATGAGTCCTGTCTCTGTCCCTGGTTTCCTAGCAACCACTGTTGAGCATGTGGTTGCTAGGCAATGTGGGGCCATCCAGACACTTGGGTACTGTCCTTAGTCTGCGTGGGCACCAGTCAGAACATTGCAGGATATTGTTAATCTGACAAGTGGCCATTGGGCCCATTTTTAGATTTTCTCATCTATTAATTGCTTTTGCTGCACAAAAAAACAGTATAACAATGGTAAACAAAGTCTGGAAAAATCAGAAATTGCCCCATGATCTCACCATTCAAACAATTCAAAAATAACCATCTTTATTCTTCCTGTTCTAACCTTTCTCTGCAGGCATACATTTTCATCTTGCCATCCTAGCACATGTGGTTTTAAATCTTGCTTTTCTGACTTTTTACAGTATGACAAGCACCCCTCAAGCTACTTGAGAGTTTTGAGAATAATCTCTCTGATGCCTCTGTGTGATACCATGCAGTGGACTGTTGTTCAGTTATTAATTCGTGTCCAACTCTTTGCAACCCAATGGACTGCAGAATGCCAGGCTTCCCTGTCCTTCACTGTCTCCCGGAGTTTGCTCAAACTCATGTCCATTGTGTTGATGGTACCATCCAACCATCTCACCGTCTATCGTCTCTTTCTCTTGCTGCCCTCAATCTTTCCCAGCATCAGGGTCTTTTCTAATGAGTAGAATCTTCACATCAGGTGGCCAAAGTAACGGGGCTTTATCCACAGTCCTGTCAATGAATATTCAGGGTTGATTTCCTTTAGGATTGACTGGTTTGATCTCCTTGCTGTCCAAGGGACTCTCAAGAGTCTTCTCCAGCATCACAATTCAAAAGCATCAATTTTTCCACGCTCAGCCTTCTTTATGGTCCAACTTTCACATCCATACATGGCTACTAGAAAAACCATAGCTTTGACTATACAGACCTTTGTCAGCAAAATGATGTCTCTGCTTTTTAATACACTGTCTAGGTATGTCATAGCTTTTCTTCCAAGGAGCAAGTGTCTTTTAATTTTATGACTGCAGTATACACACCATCATTTAATTAAGTATTCTCCTCTTGTTCCAACATTGAGTTTGCTCCAGTTTCTTTGCCATGATAAACAGTATGAATCTTTCTGCCAAAAGCTTTTCTTTACTCTTCAGACTGTTGACTTGAAAACAATATTAAGGGGTGAAATGACTGTATCAAAGTACATGAATA